TGGGGGCGGGGTGCAAGCCTCTGCTCCTCCCGGGGACTCCTCCTTGCTTGATGTCATCGGCCTCGGGGCGCTCTCGGGTAGCAACGGGTCCGCGCCCAAGCTCAGGGGCGATTCCTGGCGGCCCAGGCGTCGCACGGCGACCTGCCGGGTCGTCCCAGGACCCTCGATGGGAGGTGTCTCACCGTCGGATTCGGCGAGGCTATGTAGTGCCAGCTCACCGTGGAAGTCCTTGCGGAAATCCGGGTGGCCCACTTCGAGGCTGTGTTTACGCAGTGCGCCCTTCTTGTCGGAGGCCAGCGAAGCCCCCAGCTTCTCTGCTGACTGCACGCGCTTGAGCAGTGGCGAGCGCGGTGGCTCTGCGCTCTTGGGGCGCGGGCGCACAACAGGCGGTGACGAGTGCAATTTGGCTGGGAAGCTCTGCGTGGTGTGCGAGCTGCCCACCGTGTGGCCTGGCAGTGGCGGTGGCGACGCCTGTGTCGGGGATGGCGTGTGCGCCAGTGGTGACAGCGGGATGTTGCCGGCCGATTTACAGCGTGCAGAACGGTACTGCCGGTGTAGCTTCGGTGACAGCCCGTGCAGGGTGCTGGGCCGGATGTGGTGTGACGCCGATGACGCGGGAGAGTTGGGCGTGCTGGAAGCTGGGGAGCTACTCTGTGACGAGGCACCTGCAGGCCAGAGAAGGTATAAATATTCTGAGCACCGCACCCCAGTCCCCTACCCCGCGCAAGTACTGAACCTACCTAGGTAGGCGGAGTCAGGCGTGGAGCGATAGCTGTGTGTGGGCGAGCGTGCCGGTAATCCGTGCGTGGGCGAGCCGGGAAGACTGTCGCTGGACGACAAGGACCGGTTCAGAGAGGACAGCGATCTGCTAGTGTGCAGCAGGTTTGACTGTTTTGTGATCTTCCGAAAGAGGGAGCTGCGCTTCTTGCTGGGGGATAAATACCAAACACCTCTCAACTCCGGAACTCTGACAGCTACTCCTTTCTAGCACTCCCCTCTCCCTGCAGCCCATCTATCAAGGCAGAACTCTTGGCTCAATCCTGGGTGGTCATGCCCTCTCTTTTCCACATGCAATCCAATCCAGAAATCCCTTTCAAACAAACTCAGCCCCTTCTGGTCCCTCCCACACATCTAGTCAGGCACCTTTTCACTGAACTTATTTGCAGGATTAGTTTGATTCCTTCACTCAGATCTTCACTCTGGCCCTGACCAAATCCACTGATCAACGCCTCCCCCCCCCACTCCGGGCCACCTTCTTAGGGTCATTATGTAGTTCTGGCTGTCCTGGAACTTACTATGTAGATGAGGCTCGCTTCTACCTCAGAGATCTGCCTGCCTCTGCATTAAAGGAATGTGCTACTATGGCCTGCTGTCAAAACAGTCTCTTTGGAGCTGGAGAGGCGGCTCAGCAGTTAAGAACAGTGGCTGTTCTTCCAGAGGGACCAGGGTTAGATTCCCAGCACCCATATGGCATCTAAAAACCACCTGTAACTCTAGTTCCAGGGAATCTGGCGCCCTCTTCTGGCCTCCTTAGGCATCAGGTACACATGTGGTGCACATAAACAGAAGCAATCAAAATGCTAATACAAGTAAAAAGAATCTAAAAGAAAACAAAACTGTTTTCTTGGGGCTGGAGCGATGGTTCAGTGGTTAAAAGGAAGAGGGTATATTGCCCTTCAGAGAACCTGAGCAAGTCTATCAGACAGCTAGCTCATAATGCTTGTAACTCCAGCTTCCAAGAACATCCAACCCGCGCCCTCTTCTGGCCTCCATAGGCAGTGCACTTATATTCACAGACACAAACCTATGCATAATTAAAATAAAATATTTTTAAATCTTAAATAAAATTTTCTCCTACATCTGGGAAGGTGGCTCCATGTATGAAGACCACAATCCACAGGACAAGCACATGTGCACTCGTGTACGCACTCACACACACACACACACACACACACACACACACACACACACACCACTCCTGGCCCCACCCTTTCCCTTATTCTTCTAGTGTATGAGATTAGAAATTATAGTCATGCCCCTTAATATAACCACATTCCCAAATGCCCACACCATGTTAGTCCAATATGATGATATGGCCTGGTGACCTCATAGTTGATTTGTGTAAATTCACCCTGATACTCACCAAAGGAACTCCTGTAAGTAAGGAAGTCAGGATATATTTGTAATAACACTTCTCCATCACTAAATAATACTGACTGTGTTTAATTTCTTTTTTCCCCTTACTATATGGGCCTACACTAGCTTATTTATTTATTTATTTATTTATTTATTTATTTTTGAGACAGGGTTTCTCTGTGTAGCCCTGCATGTCCTGGAACTCGCTTTGTACATCAGGCTGGCCTGGAACTCACAGAGATCTACCTGTCTCTGCCTCCTGAGTGCTGACATTAAAGGCATGCGCCACCACTGCCCAGCCCACACTGGACTTTAACATCCAGAGATTTTCTTGCTTCATCCTCCCAAGAGCTGGAATTACAGGGGTGCCCCCACCAGATGGTCTTCTAAACTGTATTCCAGGTAACTCAGTCTTTTGTTTAGTTTAGTTTTGTTTTGTTTTGTTTGCTTATTTGTTGAGTCAGGGTTTCTCTGTGTAACAGCTCTAGCTGTCCTGAAACTAGTGTTTTGCTTTTTTGAGACACCATCTCTCTACATAGCCCTGGCTGTCCTGGAACTCACTATAGAGACCAGGCTGGCTTTGAACTCAAGATCTACCCTTCTCTCCCACCACACTGTCTTCGAACCTTGGGGATTAGGGACTGCTGGAATCATACACCACCTTTCCCAGCCAGTAATCTTTTATCCAGCTCCTCTCAAGTCCTGCTGACAGGTCTAACCTGCTCAAGTACTAACCCACAGTGCTTTTATTTGAAATAGTTTTCTTCCCAGGCTCCCACCACTCCCCTCCCCCCCCCGGGTTTGGTCCTCAATCTCTGCTTCCTACCCTTTGCATTCTCCCTTCTGTTCCTCACACCTCTGGCTTTAATCCCACCCACTGTGGACAAACTACTTATGGTCCCACTCACCTTTCTTGGCCATCTTTAGCCGAAGGCCTTTTGTTCCTACGAGCCATTTTGGCCTTGTAGCTGCTGCGCCTGGCTGGCCCAATGCGGATGGAGGTGTTTTCGAAGGGTGTGGTGGTCACAGCTACTTTGTTGCCACTCTGGGAGGAGGGAGGGAAACCCATTTGTTAGAGGCCGCTGGTCCTGCTCTCCACCGCACTGGTAGAAGCTCCTCCTCCCTTACACTCACCTTCAGGATCAATTCAACCACCTCAGGATGCACCATTCCATGGACTGGCTCACCATTCACGTGGGTGATGAGGTCCCCAGCACAGAGCCCTGCCTCTTGGGCTGGACCTCCTTCCTCCACGTGCTGTAAGTGGGAAACCCCACAGGGGCATGATTGAGGGATTGAACAGAAAGAAAGCTCCATGCTTTTTGCTTTGGCTCTTTATGAAATAGTCATTCTCCCTCACTGCATAGACGAAGAAACTGGGTTTAGTCTCACCGTGACTACCTTTCACCCATTCGCCAGCCCACCAGACTCACCCAAACAATATGGTGGACACTGTAGACATCTGAGTCCCCCATGTAGACACGGATGGCACGCAGTGTGAAACCATATTTCTTGCCTGAGCGTTGGATGGTGATGGGGGAACGGAGTCCACTGACAGCTGGGGAGTAGTCCCGGCTAGGTGAAGAGTCCCGTGAGGATGGATTGGAGGAGAGAGACCGAGGGGACATGGGACTAGCAAGGGGTGAGCCTCCATGTGGGTCCACTGCAGACACAAAACTGTGGTCAGAGACCAAGACAAACCTCACACTGTTATCCCAGTGTCTGTTGTTCGCTCCATCCACGTCAAAGCTCCATACCAGGTTCTCCATTACTCCACCCTGACAGCAAACAGCCATAGACAGGGAAAAT